GGGGGGGGGGGGGGGGGGGGGGGGGGGGGGGGGGGGGGGGGGGGGGGGGGGGGGGGGGGGGGGGGGGGGGGGGGGGGGGGGGGGGGGGGGGGGGGGGGGGGGGGGGGGGGGGGGGGGGGGGGGGGGATAAGAAACATGTGATGTATGTAATTGGAGTGCTATTTTCCTCTCCTTTAGTAAAAATGTCCCCTTGGTCCTTATCAACTTAGATTGGGGTCCTTCTATTACTTGTCTTAATTCAATTCTCTTTCCTCCATATGTGTATACACATAAGCGCTATTGTATTCGAAGGGGTTAGGTTTGTACTCAGGAGAAGGTGCTTTGCATGTTTCCCTGTCTTTTTTAGAAGCATAGCTTTCAATTCCAAAGAAAAACCCAAAGGAATCCGTACTTCGAAAGATTTTGAGGAAGAGATTAACCCAGTAGCTAAAGGCTTACAAGGTCATAACCGAACCACAGCCAACTGCAAGCAGTTCCAAGAAAACCAAGCCAATCAAATACAGTGAGAGAATTTGAAAACTGTTTGAAACCTAAGTATCTCAACTCACCACCAGTTGGAAACCCCCAGGCCACAGCTCTGCCCAGAGAAAAAGAACTTCGCAAAAACTTAAGCTAAACCTCCCGAGCAATGCTTTATATTTTTTCCCTACCTCATTAAGATTTTCTTACTAGCAACCCCCTTCAGCCCAAACCCCCCCGAACTAACTACTTATAAACATTTTTAGACTTCTGTGAACCCCGTATCTTTTTTCTTTTCTTTTTTTTTTTCTTTTTTCCCTTTCCACCTGTAATTGGAACCCAAGTTATTCTAGATTTCTTCAGAAAATCTGAACTACCAATCGCAAATTCTCCTTTACGTACATGGTCTCTTCCATATTTGCTGAAGAGAAAAAGGCCTTTTGAACAAAGAACTGAGCCATAGAACCCTTAATTCTTTATTTTCCGTATCACTGAGATGAAACAAGGAAGCCAGCTCTCTAAACTAAAGGTATCAACTTCACATCTCTTCCTCATTTCTGTCCAATCACAATTTAGAATTACAGCATTCGTGATTACTACCCTTAAATATAAACTGTTTAATTTAGGAGGGTGGGCTGAGGTTTGAAGGGCAATAAAACCCAACTTTTCTGGATATTAATTGGAATTGTTACTTTCTACTTTTGTTATTCTTTTATGTTAAGTATGAATGTTTATCATAATAACTTTACGTTGCTGTGTAATTTATATTGTGTGAATAATTTACTCACTACCAATATACAGTTGTGGAAATCCTCTGCTGACGCTACAGTAGCTTCTATGCTGGAATAATTGCTTTGATTCATTTGTCTTGTTAGTTTACTTCTACTAGTTAGTAATTATTAAGCTCGACATATTTGATGTTTTATGTACTGCTTAGATTAGATATTACATCCCGTTCTGGAATACCTGTTTAAAAAAAAGATGAAAAGAAAAGGGGGGCAGTTCCTTACCTTGCCCTTTTCATCTTTGGTCAAGCAGGCAGTTAAATGTTCAGATATCGCTGAAGATGCCCATATAGTGTCAACTGCCATAGATTTTGTTCCAAATATTCGATCTGGTAGCTACGCGGACATTGGAGCTCGGGATTCTATGGATGATGAACATATCTGCATTGATGATCTGTCTACCCACCTCAGATCTATGTTCAAGTGTCCTGTGCCAAGTGGTTTTTATGCTGTTTTCGATGGTCATGGAGGGCCTCATGCAGCTGGCTTTATCAAGAGGAATGCCATTAGATTATTCTTTGAAGATGCTGATTGGTTAAAAATGCTGGATATTAGTTCTATTTCCATGAAAGATTTGGAGAGTTCTCATCGCAAAGCGTTTCTACTGGCAGATCTTGCCTTGGCTGATGAGCAAAGTGTTGGAAGCTCATGTGGGACAACTGCGTTGACGGCATTGATTCTTGGAAGTCATTTGCTTGTTGCAAATGCTGGTGACTGCAGAGCGGTCCTATGTAGGAAAGGTGTAGCTGTTCCAATGTCTCAAGATCACAGGCCTTCTAATTTACTCGAGCGCAAGCGAGTGGAAGCGATGGGAGGGTTCGTAGATGATGGGTATGTGAATGGGTATATTTCAGTAACGAGAACCTTGGGGGATTGGGACCTGAAATTGCCAAATGGCTCCTCATCACCTCTGATTTCTGAGCCACAAGTGGAGCATGCTATTTTAACGAACGATGACGAGTTCTTGATCCTTGGCTGTGATGGGATTTGGGACGTAATGTCAAGCCAATACGCCGTCAGTCTTGTTCGACGTGGGTTGAGGAAGCACAATGACCCTCATCAAAGTTCCCAAGAGTTAGTCTTGGAAGCCTTGCGCCTCAACACATCAGATAACCTTACTGCAATAGTAATCTGCCTTGCTTCTCCCAGCTGCATTCCTCAGCAGCGGATATGGAAGCCGTGTAGTCTGACCGAAGAGGCGAGAAGTAGGTTGAGGAGCTTGTTGGAAGGAAACTGAGTATAGCATTTGAAGTTCAATCAATTCTTGCCTGTTTGTGACTGCTTCAGAAGCAAAAAAGCAGCCAGCAATTTTGTAGGGATACAAAGAAATAGGTTGAGTGGTTAGTGTTGGATGGTACTTTTTCAGATGAGTGCGGTTTTGATCTGTCAATTAGAGTTTGGAAGGAAGGATTGGTTCCGGCATTATTTGTGTAAAGTAATAAATGAGAAGAGAAGCCCTAATTTCAAGTCTTAAGCCTGCCCTTGTTTTGTTTGGTTAAAGTATTGTGTTTCTTTGGGTTTTTAGTTGAACGAACAAGCAAGCATATGTAGAATTGCATAAAACAATGGTACCAATGCATTTTGTTTCTCTTCTTCAATTGCTCATTGCGCCTTTATTCGTACCAAAATAGATTTGAAAGTGAAATACTCAAAAGTCACTTTCGACGTGATTGGTGGAAGCTGTCGAAATGTAGAAAGATTCGTCTGCAATTGACGTTGCAATACACAATAATTATTTCCCTCATGTTGGAATTGGGCTGCCTTCTTTGGTACAAATTTATCCCATAAATGTTACCATTTCGGTTCAATAAGTTTTTCTCATGTAAAATAATATTTTGAAATTCATGTACTAAATAAAAACTATTTTCAAAGCTTAGACATTAAAAAAAAAAATTTAATTTTTAATTTTGCATTAAAAAGTAGTTTCCATATAGTTTTAAATAATACCGATATGGTAAAAATTTATACAGAAAGTTTTCGTGAAATCAGTGGAAGTAAAATTTCCCAAAATTAGTGGAAGTAAAATGGAAAGTAGCCACGTCCACGCCCGATTATTACAACTATAAACACAAAGGCTTTTTAGTTGGCGATCATCTTCATAATCAAAAGCGTGCAGCTGAGTTGGTGGTGAATTCTCATTTCTCAGTCGCAGAGCTTCAGATCCAACCCCAATTCCAGTTTCTCAATTTCTCCATCTCGCCCAATCAGATGGCACTCGCAAACTGTGCTAGGCGGAAGGCCAACCTTCTATACAGAAACCTCCCTATTTCTTACTCTGATTCCTTCAATCACTCTTTCTCATTCGCATCATTCTCCAGACGCTTTGCCTCCTCTGGATCCGATGAAAACGACGTTGTCGTTATCGGAGGTGGGCCTGGTGGCTATGTCGCGGCAATCAAGGCCGCTCAGCTTGGCCTCAAAACCACCTGTATTGAAAAGCGTGGGGCTCTTGGCGGAACTTGCCTCAACGTTGGCTGTATTCCCTCCAAGGTAATCGTAATTCGCCCTTAGGGTTCATTATTTAGCATCTATATCTAGTTTTTATTTATTTTTTTAATGTTAATCTGGTTCTTTTACTTCATATTTCATTTCGTCTTCTAAATTTTGAGTTCAATGATTTATTGGCTGATTATGTCTGGTTGAGTTAGTTCTATTCATACTATTCGCGATCTTGTTTACTTGCTTGATTCGTGCTCACTTTGTAGTGAGGGATTTTCGTAATTGAAATTCGATCTGTTACTGTCTAATACACATTTCAAGACAACCGAATCACCTGCCACTCTGTTAGTCTTTCTAGGAGTTCCATCATTGGTTGGTTTGTTTCACGCACGAAATATCAGCCCTTGTAAGATACAGCTACCATTTTGATGTTTTTGCAGGATCTCATATAATAGCAAGCTCTTTATGTACACCGTTTTAGTTAAAAGCTGTTAATGGTTTAGGTCGATCCTATGTTTGTTCGGTGTGTCAATTTAAAAAGCTAGGTCGCTCTCTGAACTCTAAAATAATATGCTTTAGGCTCTTCTCCACTCCTCCCACATGTACCATGAAGCTCAGCATTCATTCGCTAGCCATGGAGTGAAGTTTTCTTCTGTTGAGGTTGATTTACCAGCCATGATGGCGCAAAAGGATAAAGCAGTAGGCAATCTCACACGTGGTATTGAAGGTCTTTTTAAGAAGAATAAAGTGAACTATGTTAAAGGCTACGGAAAATTGGTTTCCCCTTCTGAAGTTTCTGTGGACACCATTGAAGGTGGTAACACGGTGGTGAAAGGAAAAAATATAATAATTGCAACTGGATCTGATGTCAAATCTTTACCCGGGGTCACCATTGACGAAAAGAAAATTGTGTCATCAACAGGAGCCTTGGCTTTGTCAGAAATCCCCAAGAAACTTGTTGTAGTTGGAGCTGGATACATTGGGCTAGAGATGGGATCAGTGTGGGGTCGACTTGGATCCGAGATCACAGTTGTTGAGTTTGCCCCTGAGATAGTCCCAACTATGGACGGGGAAGTCCGGAAGCAATTTCAGCGTGCTCTTGAAAAGCAAGGAATGAAATTTATGCTAAAAACTAAGGTGGTTGGAGTTGATACTTCAGGGGATGGCGTGAAGCTGACTCTTGAACCGGCATCTGGTGGTGAACAGACGACACTTGAAGCAGATGTTGTTCTTGTATCTGCTGGTAGAACTCCGTTCACTGCTGGACTTGGGCTAGACAAGTTAGGGATTGAAACTGATAAGGCAGGGCGGATTTTGGTAAATGAAAGATTTGTTACGAATGTGGATGGTGTTTATGCAATTGGAGACGTAATTCCTGGGCCAATGTTAGCTCACAAGGCTGAAGAGGATGGGGTTGCCTGCGTGGAGTTCATAGCTGGGAAGATCGGCCATGTTGACTATGATAAAGTCCCTGGGGTTGTCTATACACATCCAGAGGTTGCATCTGTTGGGAAGACTGAGGAGCAGGTAAAGGCACTAGGTGTGGAATATCGTGTTGGGAAGTTTCCATTCTTGGCAAATAGCAGGGCAAAAGCAATTGATGATGCTGAAGGGGTGGTCAAAATTTTGGCGGAGAAGGAGACAGACAAGATACTCGGCGTCCATATCATGGCGCCCAATGCTGGGGAGCTTATCCACGAGGCAGTACTGGCCTTGCAATACGACGCAGCTAGTGAGGATATTGCCCGCGTTTGCCATGCTCATCCAACGATGAGTGAGGCATTAAAGGAGGCCGCCATGGCAACTTATGACAAGCCCATTCACATCTAGTGGATCGTCACTTTTTGTTTTGTTTTTTTCTTTTTTTTCCCTTTGACGAGTTGGAAATTGCTTTTCAGGTTTTTTTTTTTTTTTTTTTTTTTCCCTTTCCCAACCTGCATGAAAGCAGATAAATCTGCTGCTCTGGTCCTCGCGAAACAATAATTTGTAAGAACGGTCGAGTTTCCATAACAGTAAAGGACAGAACAAACTTTCGTTGTAATTTACACGCATAGTGTACCTACACTACACTAGTTTGAGCGAAGCACGTACACGTTCGTTGGTATTTTTCTCGTATGTTCAGAACAAGCACATATCTGAGAGTAAAATAAGGTTTACCATGGCAAAAGAATGCTGCCTAAATTATTTTGAATCTTCTGGATAGGTGAAGTCAAGACCCCCAAGAGGCTTGTAAACAAGCTATTCTACATGGAGCAGACACCGATGAATCGTCAAGTATTGGTTATAAAAATATTCAGCTAAGCCGGTGTCAAGTTGGTTATGTATAATAATTCATCTATACATACACTTTGGAGTAATAGAAGTAGGTGTCAAGCGTATTTGTTAAACCAGTATCACCCTAAATCATCACATCTGCATCAGCTAAGCCGATTGCCCTGCCTCTCCTATTGAAAAATGATCCGCACAAGAAATTCTGGAACCTCAACAGTTAAGGGCACATCTTCACAGAGCTTCGGATGATGGCTTAATCATGGCTCCTCTCGCTCCTCCTGGCCTGCAAAGACAACCGTGCATCCCTCTCTCGCTCGAACTCCCTGTAGTCAGCTCGCTGCAAAAACGAAACTATATCAAGATACTGATTTGAGCTCTTCTTGTAAGCATCCAAGTCCTCTTCCAGACCCTTAGTTTCTTCCTTGAACTCTCCCCAGTCCTTTTTTGTCTTGCCAAGAACACTAAGTTTTTGTTTCTTCTTAATTTGTTCCAGGACTGCATCAACAGCTGAAGTAGCAGGTGCCTTCATCTTCTCGTGTGCTTCCTTTGAATCAGCATCTACAAACTTTTTAATTTCAACATCTTGGCCTGCGAAGTCCCTTATCTCCCTGATCTGTTGAAGTAAAAGTACAATTTTCCTTCAGCTCATCAATTAACAGATCAATATAACCAATGCCAAAACTTACTGTTCTATTGTTTTATAAGGCCTATAACCTCTTGGAAGACTCTCATACACCTTGCTCCCCCGCCCACGCTACATTTCCCACAACCCTCCTTCACCCATAAAGTCATAAAATCTGAACTCAAAATTCTTGCTCCTAGACGGATCCACCTAACAAACTCCATTACATTTCCTAGAGTTATCCCATCCATCAAGTCAAGTACAGCTCTCATCTATTTTCCTCTCATAAGTTTCTTCAGAAAAGTGCCTAAACCGAACAATTAACCAAAAAACTGTTCTAGACGGAAAAGAAACAGAGAGAGAGAGAGAGAGAGAGAGAGATGGATCAACACAAGAGAAATCCTCTAAACTATAATACAAACAACTGACCAAATGACATTCTAATGTAATCCTTTTTCAGCTCTATAAGTCTCATAACAATAGCAAAGGGTAGAAAAAGAAATAGGATAGTATTGGCACCTCAACTTTCCCTCTGCCAGCAATGGTAGATGTAGAGTCCCTAACAGCTGAGAGAGCAGTAGCAGCAAGCACCTTAGCATCATCAGAACTGTTCTGCAGAACCTTGGATCCTTCCGATGACATATCTTTTTCTTGAGGTTCAACAATCTTCTTTGACGCCATACCAAGATGTGAAATCCAATGCCAGAGACGGTGGACATGGGGAGAGAATAAAGTAAGAGAAATGCTGTTTCCTATTTTTTTGACCTGCCTCATTGTGAAAGAGAAGAATGTGAATTTTTACATTGGATGGCTTGTTTGAGTTTTTATTCACTGGTGGAGATGGTTTGGTTGACAAAGCTTTTAAGGTTTCAGAAGACACCCCTTTATTCATTTGCTCCAACATGGCATCAACACGCTCTTTTATTTCTAGCAACATAAACAAGAATATCATTACACTTCTTAATCTACATATGCTAACATGAAAAGCACAAAAAACATCCGCTCCGCTCCCTATGCTCACCTGTGTCATTAGGCTTTCCCTCTGAGCTCATATGAACGGATCCTTCTTTACCCGATTCCATTAGATTCTGACATATAAAAGGGAAAATTAGGAAAAGCTGCAAATCTCGCATGGGTCTTCCATTTTTTGTGAGACGAACGCGAGAACCATAACAAAAATAAGCTCCCCTTCAGCCATGGTTGAATAAACATGCTTGCTCCAATATTAATGCAGTATGGCAGTAGGGAGAAAGCTCAACAGTAGAGTTAAAGAAAAACTCATCCTATAAACAGAGCATTTTGGGGAGAAGGATCTTGTGTGTTGATATTATGAAACAAAATGCAGAATCAAACGAGCCCTAATCGAATGAAGAACCTGAGAGATTGCGGCAAATTGAACGGAATCGAGACACCAAGTCTCCGCACAACACAGATTCCGGAAACACTCCCGGATAATTGGGCCCTCAAATCTCTCTCTTTCTGCACTCTGCAGCTCGGTTGAACCGATAACTGACCCGACCCGACCCGGGTAAGGGGTTTTTGGTCAAATTTTTAATAAGTTAATTAATTCCATAAAACGAAGTGTAGCCATGAACAAGAAGCAGAGCAAAAAGAAAGGCACATAAAAGCAGGGTTATTCATAAAATTTGGAAACTGAAGTGTAGCCATGAACAAGGTTGGGAGTTGCATGCACAAAGGACAAAACAACCCCCACCTGAGCTACAATACATAATATAATAAGCTTAATAATAATAATACTATTTGGCCTCACACCACAAACGCTCATACATATTATATATATATATATATGTATGTATATATGATTTAAGCAGCAGAAGGAGCTGTGATATGGTTGACAACTTCAGCCTCCGACAACACAGAGACCAAAGGCGCGAGCTTGGTTGCTTCTTTGGTTTCAGATTTGATAACATTTTGGTAGTCCAAAGATTCATCTTCATAAACCTCCCACCATTTCTTCACCAACATTTTTATGTCTTCTCTGTCCATGTTCTCTTCCTCTCCTGTGTACCTCCACGGCTTTGATCCCTACACATACATTTCACAACTAAATACAACGCCATCTTCATCTTCAATATTTTCGTAACCAAACAAGCAAAGAAAAGAAAAGCATACCGCTGCACAGTAGTGGACAACTTTGACTTTGTCTACGTCGATGTTCTCGGGATGACGCCACAACATGGCCATGACGAGATTGTAAATGGGAGGAATGGGTTTGTAAATGTCGTTGAAGTACATGTTCAGAAAGTCCTACATGCGCATTACGCATTATGACATGTGATTGATATGATAAGACTAAATGGTTGAAGTTCAACTTAAATTACCTGCTCAGCAAACAAGGTTGGAGTTGTGGCCTTGCAAGTTTCGAGAAGATCCTTGTAGGTGAAGAGGTCGGGTTCATACACAAAAAATCCAGCGTTGAAGTAAAGAGGGGGTGGGTTTCCCATTTCCTCAACAGGCCACTTGACTTTGTCAGGGCATTGCTGGCAGTAACCAATCTTGTACTGCGGTGAGTTACTCCATGTCTTCTCACAGAAGCAGTCCATCACGGCGTAGAAGTATCCATTTGGCATTTCGAACAGATGGTCGATGTTCTCAAACACTTGAATGTCTCCATCCAAATATATCAGCTTCTCGTACTCCACAAACTGCAATCAAACACTTTTGAGTATATATTTAAATTTGAATGAACGAATGAACGAACGAATGAATCGAATGTACCTCCCAAATCCTAAGCTTTGAGTAGTTGATAACATAGTATGCCATCGCAAATTGAGTCTGGTTTGCAGGGGGGTAAACAGGCTCGATTTCGCGGACGATGCATCCCTGATACTCGAGAATCTGGCGATGGTCTTCGGGAACATCAGGCAGGACAGCTACAATGAGAGGGTAGACGGTTTTGACCTTTCTGAGACCCTTTGCCAATCCAACCACACCTTTCCAATAGTCTCCATTACCGGCCAAGAACGTCACGAATGCCCTCTTGGGGGCATCGGTCGACTCGATGGCAGTTTCGGTGGCAGCCGGAGACATATTGATTATGTGGGTGGTTTTGGAACAACAAAGAGTTGTTGAGAAAGGGAGGCAAGAAGGACTTGTAGGGCAGGTTTAAGTTGTAGGTTTAGTCCTTCAAGCTTGAGTTGTGGAGGGATGGGAATGCAGGTATTTATAAAGCCGTGGGGGGGCATGTTAGTATTGTGATTACTTGGTATTAATACAAACACTGCAATTAAGAGAATGGAATTGGTGGGATGAATATGAGTTGGAATCCTATCCTTCAGCTGTGAGATGGACAAGATTCTTACGTTTTGCACCTTTGGATCATCCCCTTTGCCTTTTGGATACTCATCTTAATTATGGATCATTCCCTCTCTTGCAAGTTTGTAGACAAGACAAATGTGGACAATTTGGGGAGGATCTAAGAATCTCAGACTTCGACATTTTATTTAATATATTACGATTCTATGTCAATATAAATAAGGGTGTAGAAACTTCTCCTCAGTAGACGCGTTTTAAAAACTTTATGGAGAAGCCCGAAAGAGAAAGTCCAAAGAGGACAATATCGGCTAGCAATGGAGTTGAACCGTTATAAATGGTATCAGAGCCAGACACTGAGTGATGTGCCCGCGAGGAGGCTGAGTCTTTGAAGGGGGGACACGAGACGTCGAGACTTAGGCACTACACAAAGTGGAAAAAAAAGAAAGAAAAGAAAAGGAAAGCTGCTTTTGTCCAGATGATTCGATTCTTGTCTATACAATTTGAATGGTTTTGAAGAAGAAGATGCCCCACACGGTTGAATCAGCTTAGCTTTGTGGAAATACGTTGTCTTCTAGTGCACCTCAGTATTCCATTGGTGTGAAGGCTGTTATTTCCAACTTTTTATAGGATTCTGCACTTTTTCCCAACTCATTTCATGCCTTCTAAACATTATCAAATAAGAACTAAAACAATTTCTGTTCTTATAATCCAAAGAACATAGTTGGATGTTTTGGCAAGAACTCAAATCATTTTCAGATTATTCTTCATTACACCAACTTGGGTACCTATAGATTAACATGGATATACGAAAGCCAAGAAGGTGTTTAAAACTCAGGTTAGAATCTGGCCCCTTTTCATAAAACTCACGTTAGAATCTGGCTCCTTTTCACGTAGAACAAGCGCTGCACAATCGTTGTCCCAATGCTACAAGAGTGTGATTATGATAAGTGGTATTAGAGCAGAGTCGGCTCCTTGAATTGTAGTCAACAAATATGTCCATTGCAAAACAACTCGGCAAGACTGACCTGATGGATGAGATTGCTGCTAAAGCTTATAGGATCGACAAGATGGTAGGCCACCTTGAGATAATGTCTGTCCGTGAATTAATGGTTAGTGTTGAGGCCTTAGAAGACAAGGCCACTACTGCTGGTGGCTTTGAGCGTGGGGCTAGCTCGATGGGCACTGTTGCCTGAATCGAAGAACGCAACGAATGCTTAGAGAATGCCCAACAAGCGATTGTTCAGACGGTCTCAGAAATGTTTGAGGATTCAAGAGAAGTCGTTGGAGTGGTTAGGGTTGAAGTCGCAAATCTTAGCGCTAGATTAAATCTCACCATAAGAACGGTGGGGAGCCAAACCCTGACCGGAGGTGTAGTCCAATTCAACAAGATAAAGGTCTTGGAGCCCAAGTCCTCATGTGGGGCTCAAGATACCAAGGTTCTAGAGAACTTTATCTTTGACCTCGAACAGTACTTTCGAGTCACAAATACTGTAGCAGAAGAAGCAAAGGTCACGTTGGCAAATATGCATCTAACCAACAATGCAAAGTTGTGGTGGACATTCAAGATGGTTGATGTACTGTAGACACTTGGAGGAGCTTAAAACAAGAACTCCACTCTCAGTTCTTCCCAGAGAATGTCGAGATAATCGTAAGAAGGAAGTTAAGGGAGCTGAGGCATATTGGCAATATCCGAGACTACGTTAAACAGTTTTTTGATCTTATGTTAGATATTTGTGATATGTTTGAAAAAGACAAGGTCATCAATTTTGTTGAGGGCTGGAGTCGTGGGCGAAAACCAATCTCTACGAACAAAAAGCTCAAGATCTTTCCATGGCCTATGCTAAAGTCGAACGACTGTTTGATTTTAACATCGATCAACCCCAAGATATAAGGCAGAACCAGGCTTCAGTAAGCAGTGAAAATAAAAATTATTGACCTAGCTTTCTCAAATGGAGGAAGTGACAGACTTGAAGGCGGAGGAGAGGAATGAGTCCTTCCAATAGAAAGGTAAAATTCCATGGCGGAGACCCACAACCAGAACCGTCCTAGTCAAAGCCATGACCTCTCGTCTTGCTTCATATGCAAGGGAACCCACTGAAAAACTGAGTGCCCACAAAAGGCGAATACTCTATGACTTCCAAGAAAAATTTGGAATGAACTCTGAAACTGAGTACGAGACGACATAAATTGAAACATCGCTAGTAAAAAATATGGAGAACTCCCGTGTGCGGGCCTTAAAGTATTTATCTACCCTCCAAAAGAGAGTGTGTGAGATAGAACATCCAGTGAAGCGCAGTCTTATATATGTTGAGGTTTGGGTTGAGGTTTGAGTCAACCACAAAGTGTCCAAGAACACTATTGTAGGCTTTGGAGCCACCCACAACTTCATGATAGAGATCGAAGTGAAACACTTAAACATCCTATGACATCGAGATACAAGATGAATGAAAGTCGTCAATTCAAGCCCTACCTGTTTCAGGGGTTGCAAAGTGAACTCGTATTAAGATATAATAACCGAGCAAGAGAGTTAAAATAATAATCCATTTTTTTCATCATAATTGAAACCAAACCTACTCATCACACCTCAGGATTCAAAAGGTAACCTAACATTTTTCCTATTATGAATTTAATTTAACTTATTAATTGTTTTATTACACAATTTACTCGAATTTATGGAAAATGTATAAATGGAATCTCCATGTGTAGCTTTTATGGTAGGACACCGTGAACCTTTCAATTATTACTTAATTCATAATCAATTCAATTTTTATTTTTAATTTAATAATATCATTATCTCAGGAGGAATGTGAGAAGGGTGATGATAGAGTTTGCGTCACGTGACATTTCACGTGCTACTAGAAATTATTAAATTTATGTAAAATTTTCATTGGGGGAGGCTGATTTTGCAGCTGCTAATGCTTCTGGTTGATAATGGGGATGGCGAGATAGCTTTAAGCGGCACACGGAATTCTTACGTCCTCTTTTCAACGCAGCACACTTCCCCTATCGACGTAGTCTTCTCCGGTCACCGCTGCACAACCCCCAAATCTTCTTCCGCCATTCACTCCGCCGCTTCAACTTCCTCCACATTACCAGCACAGTTCCTGAGGATCTAGACTCCAATTTCCGCTCTTCATGCTCTTCCTCACTTTTGATTATTAGGGTTTTCTTTTGCCTGCTGCTTTCTTTCTCACTTCCCTTGGCGTATTTCATTCCTAGAAGCTGCAATTTGAGGTTTCTTTCTTTCATTTCTGTATC